CCTCCCCCCAAACTTCCCAAGTTCATACCACATGGATTTGTAATCTGTAGGCCACTGTTAGGAAAAATTTGGATGACTTGGGCTAAAATCTTTCCTTTTGCCTCTTCATTCGATTTATAGCTCTGTATACTTGGGATGTATGAATTGGGAGACCTCAGAGACAGATTACTTAAGCATTTCTTAGAGTTGCAAGTCAGGATTACTTAGAAAACTTATATAAAATATTCATGAACATTCATGTAAGGAAATAAATACTCTGTAGCAACAGGACAAACCAAGAAGCTCTTTATGAACCACTGAGATGATTGCCAAGTCATATTATTAAATAATAAAAGCAAGATATCGAATATTGTATATCTAGTATGCTACCATTATTGTGGGGGAATATGTAAAATATGTAGGTGTGTGCTGAATGTTCCTAAAGGATATTCCACTTTTTTTTTGTTTGAACTAAGGGCCTCACGCTTGTTAGGCAGGCGCTCTACCACTTGAGCTACTCCACCAGCCCTCTACAGGATATTCTAGAAACTAATTTTGGTTTCCTTCTGGGAAAGACAGCCAGATACCAGCTAGGGGACAGTAGGAAGATTTTCTCACTTTGTAATCTCTGGTACTTAAAACTCTTAAGCCATATATATTTAAAAAAAACCCAAACAAGCAAACAAACAAGAAGCCCATTAACCCTTCTCCCCAACCCAGCAACAATGAATCTCTTTACCTGGAGCAAGTACAGGTATAGAAATGTGGAGAAGTGCCCAGGTGCTTTGAATCTCAAATCTAACATCTCAGCTCACTGAGAAAGCTGCAAAGCATTGCAGAGAACACTCGCATCTCCCATTTTTGCTACTGCCAGTTGATATTGGAGGAATTACTGAATACCTCTTGTTCTTTAGTTTTCTTATCTGTAAAGTCAGTATTAGCTGGGTAATCTCAAAACCTCCTCACCTTTGCTGGCTTCCATGGGCATTGGGCCTTGGAGAAACAGGCAGGAAACTATAGGCTGAAGGGCAACAGCTAATCCATCCTTTCCCTCTCTACAACAAGAGAAGTAAATGAGTAGTAAGGATGGTATGTTCATTTAAAATATTCATCTATTACATAGTAACACATAAAATTTAAAAGTTCATTCTCTAAGTTTTGTTTTCAAGTTAGATTGAATGTCTGTTCTCTAGGAAATTTTATTTCCTAAACTTAACTAGGTAAAGAATTTGATTAAAATAGGGATATTGGGTCAAGTTGGTATGTTGATTTTTTTTTTTTTCTGTTCTCTTCCCAAAACCCTCGAAGTGCCAGAAACAACCCCAGTATTGGGAGGGGAAAAAAAGAATAAATGGTGCAAAGAAAATTAAGCTTATTAGGGGATACAATATTAAATGACTGAATACTTTATATATATACTTTTCATCTTAATTATATATAAATAATTTTTATCCTAAAATATGAGTATATACACATGTATATGTATATAAAATCTTTGTCATAAGAATTTTACATATTTTTATAGATAATCCTGTGAAAGAGAAAATGTAAAGAATAGAAAAGGTGAAGGCTTTCAAAGTAGAAGGAACAACAAAGCACAGTGTAAAAACTTCATAATGCTGTCAGAATTTAATATTTTTTAATTTTTAAAAAGTATTTCCATTCTTAGCCATCTTTTTTTTTTCCTAAAAAGGGATCTAGCTGTATTTTCTTTCCTAGTTGATATAAATATCCCAACAATATACTGAGCATGTATTGTCTCTCTGTACTGACTGGAAATGCCATCCTTGTTACAACTCAGCAATTTCACTGGTACATTAAACAATGCAACAGGAAAATTTGAAGAATAAATTGTGGTATGTTCATATAATAAAATACTATGCATCCATTACAATGAATAAACTAGAGCTATATGTTTCAAAGTAGGTAAACCACAAAAAAGTGACAATTTACTGATTAACATATTACAAACAAAAAATGCTACTCTATGATTTACAATACCCATATAATAAAAGCATAATCATTCATGATTAAAACATCTACTTTAAGGTAATAGTTACATCTAAGGAAGGAAGGAGAATGATGGAGGAAAGGGGTATAAACTGTAACACTGTTTCTTAAAATAAAAACTGAAGCAACTATGATACAATATTGTTTTCTTGAACACACATTGTAGGCAGATATTTGTTATATTGTTCTCTTCACATTTCTACTAGACTGGACTGAAATAGTACACAGAGAGCCAGGTGCTAGTGACTCACCCCTAGCTTCTTGGGAGGCGGAAATTGAGAGGATCTCCATTTGAGGCCAGCCTGAGGAAATAGTTCGCGAGCCCCCTCCCCCCCCACCAGCCAACCCCCCTCCATCTCCAAAATAGCCAGAGCAAAATAGACTGGAGATGTGGCTCAAGCGGTAGAGCGCCAGCTTTGCAAGTGCGAAGCCCTGAGTTCATTCAAACACCAGTCCCACCAAAAAAAAAAAAATAGAGGTCATTTTTATTATAAAGTATGTTTCTACTCATTCACAATTCTAGACTCACTAATTTGTAAGAGGAGATAAAGAATGTAATTCAGGGATGAAGTTCTTTAAAAAGATGAAGTAAGGCTGGGTGTGGTGGCTCATGCCTATAATTCTAGCTACTCCAAAGTGGAGGTAAGATGTCAGTTTTAGGCCAGCCTGAACAAATAGTTACTGAGAGTGCATCTCAACCAATAAAAAGGTGGCCAAGGTATATTATAAGCATATATGGAAATGTCATAATGGACCCCCCTGCCCTGCACACTGTTCAACTGTTATGTGCTAATAAAAATGTTAAAAAAAAAAAAAAAGATGGACATGGTGGGACTTGCCTGTCATCTCTTCAAGGAGGGAAGCATAAAAAGGAAGATTGCAAAAAGGGCTGTGGGGGCACGGCTTAAGTGGCAGAACACCTGTCTAACCATCGAGGGTCCCTGAGTTCAAACCCTAGTACTGCCACACACACACACACACACACATACACACACACACACAAAGATAAAATAAGTAAAGAATTCCAGAACAAATATGTATAACATAAAGATGGAAAAAGGATCAATATTCAGCATATATAAAGAAGGGGAGGAGTAGAGGAAGATGAGAGAGAAAGTGAGATCATCTCAATTTCTAACACACATCTTGCAAAAACCTACTTGCTCTACTGCCCTTTCTCAGGCCTCACTTCTGCTGCCACTTTCCCTCCCTCTCCTTCAGCCTCCTTAACTTTGGCAAGTTTGCTTTTGCCTTGGGCTTAAGTAAAGTTCCTCATGTGTAGATTGGCACTGTTTCAGGAGATCAGGACATACGGCATTCTAGCTGAGAATGGCTTTCTCTGATCACCTTACCCCTTGTCCCTTTCCGTGGTTCGTCCATCTTGTCTACCTATTACTTTATTTATAGTACTTTATCATAAATAAGGTAATATTTCATATTATTTCATGATTGTCTGTCTTCCCTCACAGTAAAATAGCATATCTTGGTCATTCTATGCCAGTCTTTAAAAGCAGTGTAGGTAGGTACATTGTAGTATATTGCTCAATAAATATCTGTTGAATAAATGGCATTTTTACCTTTAGTTTTAAAATCCTACTGTGGAGTTATGACAGACATGTAAAATATTAAATAGAAATGGCAACACAAATTACAGTTTTGTTTGTTTCGAGGCAGGATCTTACCATGTACCCCAGGTTGGCTTCAAACTCGAGATTTTTTTTTTTTTTTTAAAAACAAAATGTTCATATTATTTGAACTTTTCCGTTAGCTAACTTTTTGAGACCTTACTGTGTCAGTCAGGCAGTCCTTGAACTCCTAAGCTCACGTGATCCTCTTGCATCTTTAGGTATCTGAATTAAATAATCAGGTGAATTTTAGAAGCAAAATTGCTGTGGCAGAGGAGATGCTTATTTTCAAGGCTTATGGTGATATTACCATTCTCCCAAAAGCAGTTTGTGAATTTATATACAAACCGGTAGTATATAAAAGGATTCCTGTTTCTCCAAAATCTTGATCAAACTAGACATTGTTATTTTTTCAGTATTTTGCCATTTTGTTTGGGAAAATGATTATCGATGAAGGTGGCCTCATTTCTCTTATTTCTGTCATTAATCCCATGTTCCTGCCATATCTTTTTTATTACCACTTTTTTTCTGATTTATTAAAATTTTGCCATTTGTAAAACATTTGCCAAGTGTTTTGCCACTGCACTTTTTCTAGTTTGTGCTTTGCCTTTTGCTGAAGAGAAAAAAATTTGTCTGGGTGTGGTGGCTCAAGCCTGTTATCATGGCTATTTGGGAGGTGAAGATTAGGAGGATTGAGGTTTGAGGCCAGCACAGGCAAAAAATTCTCAAGACCCCCTTGTCAACCAATGAAAGCTGGGTGTAGTAGTGCACATGCCTGTCACCCTAGCTAGTGGGAAGCATAAATAGGATGGTGATGCAAGCTGGTTTGAACATAAAAACAGAGCTTAGTTCAAAAATAACCAACAGCTGGCTGCCAGTGGCTCATGCCTGTAATCCTAGCTACCTGGGAAGCTCAGATCAGGAAGATCACAATTTGAGGCCAACTGGGCAACTAGTTTGGGAGACCCCCATCTCCAGAATAACCAGCGTGTAGTGGACTGGAGGTGTGGCTCAAGTAGTAGAGCACCTGCCTAGGAGGCCCTGAACTCAACCCTCAATACTGCCAAAAAATACTTTTTTAAGTTGAAGATCTTAATCTTATTTGTATTGTTCAGGATTGTGTTTAGGATGTCTTTATTTATCCCTTAGTTATACATGTACAACTATCAGGATTATCGGTTCAGATTGAAAGCATTTTGATAATGTTAGTATCCTTAATTTGCTTGCCATTTCATAAGAGCCAAGAAGTAAAAGGGAAAAACAAACAAACAAACAAAACCATGAAAAGAAATAATACGATATAGTAAGTTTCAGGCCAGCTACATGGTAAGACCCTGTCTCAAAAAAATTTATTATTTCCAGGCAGCTTTCCAGAGAGAAGGTTTAGGACAGAAGTCAGACTTACTGATGCCATTACTCTTGATGCCTTTTGTGTAAGGTACTCTTCTTTTACTGTAAGATAAAGTCCACCTGATTAAACCATACAATGCCATTGATTGTGGGATGCATATTGATTTCAGATTGTGAATGTGGGTCTTAGAATCCATGAGATGTGAACTTTGCAACTCAGTCATTTATAATTAATTAAATTTTGGTGATAGGGATTGAACCCATGGCTTCAAGCATATTAGTAGTTGTTCTACCACTGAGCTACACTCCCAGGCCCAGTTCAATTTTTTTTTTCTTTTTTTGATATAAGGTCTCACTGTGTAACCAGGGTGACCTCAAACTTAAGATTCTTCTGCTTCAGCTTTCTGAATGCTGGGATTACAGGTGCGTGCCACCATGCCTACCTTTCAGTCATTTTTAAATCTTGTGGTTGGTTCATGTAGTTACTTTTTGCCTTGGTAATAAAAAATCAGTTTTATTGAGATATAATTCAGGAACCTTACAATTCACCCATTTAAGATATACAAGTCAGTGGGTTTTAGTGTATTCAGAGGTAGGTGCAGCTCTGACTACAGTCAATTTTAGAACATTTTTAGTACCACCAAAGGAAAGAAACATGGCTACAGCATGGATGAACCTTGAAGATATATTAAGTGAAAGAAGCCAGACATAGAAGGACAAATACTGTATGATTGCATTAATGTGAGGTACCTAGAATGGTCAAGTTTATAGAAGCAAAAAGTGGAATAGTAGTTGCCAGGAACTGGGAGAAGAAATAAGGAGATGGTAGGTATGGAGTTTGGTTGGGGAAGATGTAAGAGTACTGGAGTGAATGGTAGAGATGGTTGCACAACAGTGTGAATGTATTTAATACTACAGAACTGTATACTTAAATGAGCCGAGGTGGAGGTGTGGTTCAAGTGGTAGACCTGAGTTCAAACCCCAGTACCACGAAAATAAATAAATAAATAGTAAATAAGTAAATAAAAGAGAGCCAGGTGCCAGCATCTGTGTCTCACAGCTGTAATCCTAATTACTCAGGAGGCAGAGATCAAGAGAATCTTGGAGGCCAGCCAGGAGAAATAGTTTGTGAGACCCAGTCTCAAAAATGCCCAACACAAAAATGGGCTGAGGTAGTGGTTCAAGTGATAGAGGACCTATAGCCAGCCTGAGGCCCTGAATTTAAACCCCAGACCTGCAAAAAAAAAAAAATTTAAAATGATAAATTTTCTATTCTGTATATTTTATCACAGTATAAAAATTCAGTCTGTATTAAAACACAAAGGAGGACTTACTATTAAGACTATGTAGGGAGTTTAATAGGTATCCAAGGGTAAGGAGATAGCTATCCAAGGACAGGGAAGCAGATATAGGTCAGGGGACTGACCGTGGAAGGAAAAGGCAGAAGCCCAGGCTGCATCTGCTGTGCCAAGGAGACTGCAAGGTTTCTTGTCTCTGCTTCTTCTCAGCATGCCTACCCACTCTGCAGACTGGCGTTTTCTTTTTTAAAAAAAATTACTGGTGGTACTGTTTTTTATAAAAGACCCCCACCCCTTTATTTGCATTACTTACTTTTTAGTGGGTCTCATAGTTTTTGTCCAGCTGGGTTTCGGCCTGGATCCTCCTACCTATGTCTCCTATGTAGCTGGGATTACAAGTGTGAACCGCACTTGGCTTTTTTGTTGAGATGGGGCTTTGCTAACTCTTTTTTCTCTGCCCTGGCTAGCTTTGAAGCACGATCTTCCTGATCTCCTCCTCCAGAATAACTGGGATTTCAGGTGTGTGCCACCATGTCTGGCCCTTGACTGGTATTTTTGGTCCCCTTGTAGTTTTTCATTTCTTTGGCTCATCTTGACTCACTCATGCTGTGGCCACCTTGCAGCTTGTGCTCATTCCTTGTAGCTCATGTTCTCACACCCGTCTTATTGGAGAGGGATCTGATTGATTCATTCCTGATCCTAAACCAAAGGCACATTCTCTAGAAGGGGTGTGCATGGGATCTGGATGTGAAAAAGCCTCTGGGACACTCAGGTTGGTTAGTCTGAGGAGGACCTAATTCTGTAGTGAGTGGATATCAACCTTTTTAGTTTCAAGGCTCCTTTATACGCTTAAAAATTATTTTGAACGTCAGAGAGCTTTTTCTTATATGAGTTATGTATTCATACTTACCAAATTATATATTAAAATGAACTAATATTAAAAGATATTTATGTAAAATATCGGGCTTGGTAGATACCACAGTGGTAGAGCATGTACTTAGTACACGTGAGGACTTGGGCTTGATCCCTAGCACCAAAGGTTGAGAAGATTCATGCATATATGTAAAGCATATTTACTATGTGTAAATATTAATCATTTTTTTTTGAAGTACTGGGCATTGAATTCAGGCCCTTATGCTTGCTAGGCAGGCACTCTACCACTTGATCCACTTTACCAGCCCCAACATGCTGTTTTGATGAAATTTTATAAAGCAAGCCTAAACTCAGTACACTTAGGTAGAAAAGGAAGAGGTGTTTAACCTTTTAGATAATTGTGATATTCTTTGATATTGCACCAAAACATGTGGTAAGTTTTTAAAGATTAGTTGCTGTGTAGAACCTGAAGCCTTATCAACAAATTTTTCATAATCTGTTGCATAAAAATGTGTTGGTTTATATTATATTGTACTATAGCTATATCTCATTCATGGGCAGCTTTATAACATTCTGGTTTTTTGGTTTTTTTTTTGGTAGTACTGGGGCTTGAACTCAGGGCCTCAAGCTTGTTAGGCAGGTGCTCTTACTGCTTGAGTCATTCCGTCAGCCCCTGTAACATTCTGTATTAGTCACTTGAAAGATAATTTACTCATTGCATTATGCAGATATTTCCAGTATTGACACATTTCATTATATAGTATCAAAAACTTGCACTTGTTCATTTTACCACCATTCTCACCAGAAAAGTGGGGATACAGAAAAGTGGGTGGCAAATAAAAGTTTTTTCCTAAATATCGGCACTTGTTTTCCTTGGATTGATGGGCTTACCTTATTTTTCTTAGAAAGTGTTCCCATCCCCAGTTTTTTTACAGTTGAGTTTTTCCACAACCCTCAAATTTAGAACCATGTATTTTTGTTATTATAATATATGTTTTCCAGACATTTTTAGAAATTTATTGACTGCTTTGTGCTAGGTCCTGTGCTAAGGGGCGTGTCTGTGTGCACGTGTACATTGGGGAATTGAACTCAGGGCCTTGGTTTAACTAAGCAAGTGCTTTACCACTAAGCTATCCCACAGTCCTTCATGCTAAGATTTTTATATACGTGTTTTTACTTCATATAGCTAATTATATCATTAGTCATATATCGAAGGAACCTTTTTCTAAATGTGAAAAAAGACTCATTAATGTTTATCAATCCTCAGTAACTTCTATTAAATACATGAGAAAAGTTTTTATTGGTAGTTGTGGTTTTATTTATGTAGCTATAGTTATAATTTATTAGAAGCACACTTGATGTTTTAGTTCTTATGAATTCTCTTTTCCCTATTCTGTTTAGGTGGTTTCCTAGAAACATGATTGTTTGTTGGTCTTGATCTCACAGACCAGTGAGGACTTCTATACTGATAATGTCAAGTTCAGGTTATCCTCCCAACCAAGGAGCATTCAGCACAGAACAAAGTCGTTATCCTCCCCACTCTGTCCAATACACCTTTCCCAGCACCCGCCACCAGCAGGTAAGAAACAGATACTGTGCAAATTGCGTATGTATTTTCTGTTTTATCTTTCCCATTTAATGCATTTACTTGTCAGTAACCAAATACACTTATTTTTTTTAATGGCAAGAATCATTCTCAAAAACGGGGAAGTAAAGTTTGGGAATTAATTACCTACATCAGAAAACTGTGGTTTTTCTGCCAGATTTCAGAGGTTGAACATGTCTTGAGTTTTGTTGTAGTATTTGTTGATAGAAAAGAAGTTGCATAAAGTTTCTAGGTTAAAATCTGTGTTTAAGGCCTATATTTTGGTTGAGTTTTAAGCTGGCCAGATAACTTGGCCTCTCCTGAGTGGTGGGCAGAATAAAGGCCTTTACCTTCTTGAGAAGTTTAGTGGTGAGAAGATGAGTTTGTCTGGTTGACTAAACCTCGTGAAAAATAAAGTAAGAGGTAAAATTATTAGCTGAGCAAGGATAGTAGTTAAAGAGGTTTGAAGAAAAATGGGAGAGGAATGCTGGGGCATGGTGGCTTGCACTTAATAATCTTAGCTTTCAGGAGGCTGAGGCAAGAGGATAGTGAGTTCGAGGCCAGCCTTGGCGATATAGTTACACTCTGTCTCAAAAACAAAAAGCAGAAAATAAAAGAACAAAAAAGAAAGATATGAAATGGCCACCTTAGAGAACAAGAAGGCAAATTTATCAACCAAATACACGTCGGTTCTACGTCAGGACTCCTTTGGAGTGGGTCCTTGGTAAAGGTGACAATAGACATCCTTATGTTGCTCTGTGTAGAGAAACATTCAGTTTTTACAATTAAGTGTGATGGCCACATGTTTTTGTTGATGCCCCTTTTTTGTTGAAGAAGTTGCTTTCTATTCCTGGTTGGAGAATTTTCCCTTTTTTTTTTTAGATTTGTTTTATTGTTTTTGGTGGTACTGGGGTTTGAACTCACCGCCTCACATTCGCTAGGCAGATGCTCTACCACTTGAGCCGCTCCACTAGCCTAGTTTGAGAATTTTTATTGTAGTTGTGTGTTGAGTATTGGTTCTTTCTGCTCCACTGCTATCCACCTAATTACTAATTTTCTAGATTGTTGTTGTTGCTGCTGCTTTTTTTTTTTTTTAAATTAACTCTATGGGGTGTGGGTACATACGTATACACATACGTGTACATTTTGGGTGTAGCTTTTTTTTTTTGTGGCACTGGAATTTGAGCTCAGGGCCTCACACTTGCTAGGCAGGTGCTCTTAGCACTTCAGCCACTCTGCCAGTCCTTATGATTACATTTTGACAAACTCATTCACCCATAAAATCATCACCAAAATGAAGATAAAGAATATTGCTATTGCCTTAGGAATTTGGCTATTGTGAATAATGACCTTTGAAATTTTATGTTCAAGGTTTTATGTATGGTTATGTGCTTTTAGTTCCTTTTGGTGTATACTTTAATTCTTGACTTGTTTAGTAATTCTGCATTTAAATAGCTGTTTATGATTGAGTTAGCACAATATACTTGTTTTGAAAAGAAGCTTTTGCTAATATAAAAATGTCAACAAAAGTAGAAAAACAAGCATAAAAACACTTTGTTATGATGGTAATCTATTATTCCTAACTGGTAAGTTGATTTGATGGATTTCTGTTTCTTCATTTGTAAATGGTTCTAAGTAAATGATTTCTGTGATTGTGCTAGTTTGTTTGAATGTAAAACGGAAATGCTTTCTAGGATTTTATATTGAACATATGAGTTTGAGATTTTGCTTATGTGAGTAATATAGATCTGGGATACTGTAATATGTTAGTAGAGGAATGAATAAAATTGAAGTTGAACTTGGAATTTCATTTTGAATTATTCATAATGTGGTTAAACTGTTGATTGTTTGGGTTGAAATCTTCATTGTGATTTCCATTCTTAGTGGCCTTTGAGTACTTGGTTTCATTTCGTGTTGCTGCCTACTTTTTCGTTAATAGCTAATTCATGATCATTTTAATACCAGGAATTTGCAGTCCCTGACTACCGCTCTTCTCATCTTGAAGTCAGTCAGGCATCACAGCTTTTGCAGCAGCAGCAACAACAGCAGCTTCGAAGACGACCTTCCTTGCTTTCAGAATTTCATCCAGGTTCTGACAGGTAATGGATTTCTTTTATGTTTCCATCTAGGATTGTATCATTTATTTTTATTATTTTAAAATTTTCTGTTAACCAAGCTGTGACTGGTCATTTATAGTTTATGTTTTGAGCTCTTTTATATTGGTTGATCTTTTGGAGTAGTAATCACAAAATTTAAGCTCTCTCTCTCTCCTCTCCCCAAGTACTGGAGATTGAATCCACGGCCTTGGATTTGCTAGGCTAGCAGTCTACACCTGAGCTATGCCCCCAGCCTATTAGTTCACTTTTAGAACTTGTTTCCACAATTTAGCATTTATGTTGCAGTAGTGAAAAATTAGATAGACCTAGGTTTTAATCCTGGTTAGATGTGTGGCCTTGGTCACTTTATATAAACTGCTTATGCTCTTTCTCAATTTGGTGCTGCATATTAGAACCATGTGGGTTGACCCAGGTTCCATCACAGAACAGTTGAATCAATCTTTGTGGTTGGACCCAGGCATGTTTAATGCCTGTATTTTCTTAGGTGATTCTCTTTTGCAGTCAGCGTTGTAAATCACTAACTTAAACTGTTTAAACTTTCGTTTTCTTACCTACAACAATGGGCTTATTAATGGCTTTGTTCTCAAAAGTACTAAATATTCTATCAGGCACTGTAAGTCCTCTCTGTAGCCTGTCCCCATTTTTGCAGTGTCCTTACCATCTCTCCTTTTTTTTATACCATTTTTATTCTTAAGGTAGGTTTTGGGGTTTTTTTCATAATAAAGAGTGATAATTTTTAGGAAAGCCGAGTTACATCTGGTGGGGGGGGGTCAGATGGGTAGTTTGGATAAGAACTGGCTGCCTAATCAGGGACTATACATCTCAAGGGGTGGGTGGAAGCTTAGTGCAGTGTCCTCCAGGTTCATCCATGTTGTGGACAATGGTGAGATCTCTCTCTCTCTTTCTCTCTCTCTCACTCTCTCTCTCTCTCTCTCTCTCTCTCTCTCTTTTTTTTGTGCAGTACTGAGGTTTGAACTCAGGGCCTCATGCTTGCTAAGCATGCGCTCTGCCACTTGAGCCACTCTGCCTCCCCACCTTTAAGTACAGAATAGTGTGTGTGTGTTTGTGTATGTGCGTGTACACCACAGTTTCTCTAAGTGTCAGCAGACACTTAGAATGATTTTGTGCCTTGACTATGCTACACTGAACTTGGGAGTGCACAAATCATTCATTTCTTTTGGATGTATGACCAATGTATGCTAGTTCTATTTAAATAATTTTACTTTTGGTAATCTTATTTTTGATATCTTTAGAAACCTCCATATTCTTTCTCCTAATGATTGTACCCATCTACATTTCCACCAACAGTGTATAAGGGACCCTTTTGTCTACACCTTGTCCACACATTTGCCATTTTGACTTTTTTGATAATAGCCATCCTTATGGATGGGAGGTGGTGTCTCTTAGTGGTTTTGATTTACATTTCCATGGTATTTAATGATATTGACATCTTTTCATATACCTATGGCCAGTTTTTTTTTTTTTTTGTATTTAGAGAAATGTGTATTCAGGTTTTTTTTCTCTTTTTGAAATTGGGTGATTAATTTTTCTGTTGAGCTATATGAATTCTTTATAAATTTTAGATATTAACCCCTTATCAGATACATATTTGCAATTTTATTTTTCAATCTACTGTTTGACTTTGTTGATTGTTTCTTTTTTTTTTTTTTTTTTTTTTTCTTTATTATTCATATGTGCATACAAGGCTTGGTCCATTTCTCCCCCCTGCCCCCACCCCCTCCCTTACCACCCACTCCACCCCCCTCCCGCTCCCCCCCTCAATACCCAGCAGAAACTATTTTGCCCTTATCTCTAATTTTGTTGTAGAGAGAGTATAAGCAATAATAGGAAGGAACAAGGGGTTTTGCTGGTTGAGATAAGGATAGCTATACAGGGCATTGACTCACATTGATTTCCTGTGCGTGGGTGTTACCTTCTAGGTTAATTCTTTTTAATCTAACCTTTTCTCTAGTTCCTGGTCCCCTTTTCCTACTGGCCTCAGTTGCTTTAAGGTATCTGCTTTAGTTTCTCTGCATTAAGGGCAACAAATGCTAGCTAGTTTTTTAGGTGTCTTACCTATCCTCACCCCTCCCTTGTGTGCTCTCGCTTTTATCATGTGCTCATAGTCCAATCCCCTTGTTGTGTTTGCCCTTGATCTAATGTCCACATATGAGGGAGAACATACGATTTTTGGTCTTTTGAGCCAGGCTAACCTCACTCAGAATGATGTTCTCCAATTCCATCCATTTACCAGCGAATGATAACATTTCGTTCTTCTTCATGGCTGCATAAAATTCCATTGTGTATAGATACCACATTTTCTTAATCCATTCGTCAGTGCTGGGGCATCTTGGCTGTTTCCATAACTTGGCTATTGTGAATAGTGCCGCAATAAACATGGATGTGCAGGTGCCTCTGGAGTAACAGTCTTTTGGGTATATCCCCAAGAGTGGTATTGCTGGATCAAATGGTAGATTGATGTCCAGCTTTTTAAGTAGCCTCCAAATTTTTTTCCAGAGTGGTTGTACTAGTCTACATTCCCACCAACAGTGTAAGAGGGTTCCTTTTTCCCCGCATCCTCGCCAACACCTGTTGTTGGTGGTGTTGCTGATGATGGCTATTCTAACAGGGGTGAGGTGGAATCTTAGTGTGGTTTTAATTTGCATTTCCTTTATTGCTAGAGATGGTGAGCATTTTTTCATGTGTTTTCTGGCCATTTGAATTTCTTCTTTTGAGAAAGTTCTGTTTAGTTCACTGCCCATTTCTTTATTGGTTCATTAGTTTTGGGAGAATTTAGTTTTTTAAGTTCCCTGTATATTCTGGTTATCAGTCCTTTGTCTGATGTATAGTTGGCAAATATTTTCTCCCACTCTGTGGGTGTTCTCTTCAGTTTAGAGACCATTTCTTTTGATGAACAGAAGCTTTTTAGTTTTATGAGGTCCCATTTATCTATGCTATCTCTTAGTTGCTGTGCTGCTGGGGTTTCATTGAGAAAGTTCTTACCTATACCTACTAACTCCAGAGTATTTCCTACTCTTTCTGTATCAACTTAGAGTTTGGGGTCTGATATTAAGATCCTTGATCCATTTTGAGTTAATCTTGGTATAGGGTGATATACATGGATCTAGTTTCAGTTTTTTGCAGACTGCTAACCAGTTTTCCCAGCAGTTTTTGTTGAAGAGGCTGCTATTTCTCCATCGTATATTTTTAGCTCCTTTGTCAAAGATAAGTTGCTTATAGTTGTGTGGCTTCATATCTGGATCCTCTATTCTGTTCCACTGGTCTTCATGTCTGTTTTTGTGCCAGTACCATGCTGTTTTTATTGTTATTGCTTTGTAATATAGTTTGAAGTCAGGTATTGTGATACCTCCTGCATTGTTCTTTTGACTGAGTATTGCCTTGGCTATTCGTGGCCTTTGTGTTTCCATATAAATTTAACAGTAGATTTTTCAATCTCTTTAATGAATGTCATTGGAATTTTGATGGGAATTGCATTAAACATGTAGATTACTTTTGGGAGTATCGACATTTTTACTATGTTGATTCTACCAATCCATGAGCATGGGAGATCTCTCCACTTTCTATAGTCTTCCTCAATCTCTTTCTTCAGAAGTGTATAGTTTTCCTTGTAGAGGTCTTTCACATCTTTTGTTAGGTTTACACCTAGGTATTTGATTTTTTTGAGGCTATTGTAAATGGAATTGTTTTCATACATTCTTTTTCCGTTTGCTCATTGTTAGTGTATAGAAATGCTAATGATTTTTCTATGTTGATTTTATATCCTGCTACTTGCTATAGCTATTGATGATGTCTAGAAGCTTCTGAGTAGAGTTTTTTGGGTCTTTAAGGTATAGGATCATGTCGTCTGCAAATAGGGATATTTTGACAGTTTCTTTACCTATTTGTATTCCTTTTATTCCTTCTTCTTGCCTAATTGCTCTGGCTAGGAATTCCAGTACTATGTTGAATAGGAGTGGAGATAGTGGGCATCCTTGTCTGGTTCCTGATTTTAGAGGGAATGGTTTTAATTTTTCTCCGTTAAGTATAATGCTGGCTGTAGGTTTGTCATATATAGCTTTTATAATGTTGAGGAACTTTCCTTCTATTCCTAGTTTTCTTAGAGCTTTTATCATGAAATGATGTTGGATCTTATCAAAGGCTTTTTCTGCATCTATTGAGATGATCAAGTGGTTTTTGTCTTTGCTTCTGTTAATGTGGTTTATTACGTTTATTGATTTTCGTATGTTGAACCACCCCTGCATCCCTGGGATGAAGCCTACCTGGTCGTGGTGATAATCTTTTTGATGTGTTGCTGAATTCGTTTGCCATTATTTTGTTGAGGATTTTTGCATCAATGTTCATTAAGGAGATTGGCCTATAGTTCTCCTTTTTGGAGGTGTCTTTGCCTGGTTTTGGGATAAGTGTAATACTGGCTTCATAAAATGTGTTTGGCAGTTTTCCTTCCCTTTCTATTTCATGGAACAGTTTAAGGAGGGTTGGTATCAGTTCTTCTTTAAAGGTCTGATAGAATTCAGCAGAGAATCCATCAGGTCCTGGACTTTTCTTTTGGGGAGACTCTTGATTGCTGCTTCAATTTCATTTTGTGTTATAGGTCTATTCAGGTGATTAATTTCCTCTTGGTTCAGTTTTGGATGATCATATGTATCTAGAAATCTGTCCATTTCTTTTAGATTTTCAAATTTATTTGAATATAGGTTCTCAAAGTAGTCTCTGATGATTTCCTGGACTTCCATGGTGTTTGTTGTTATCTCCCCTTTTGCATTCCTGATTCTACTAATTTGGGTTTTTTCTCTCCTCATTTTAGTCAGGTTTGCCAGGGGTCTATCGATCTTGTTTATTTTTTCAAAGAACCAACTTTTTGTTTCATTAATTCTTTGTATGGTTTTTTTGGTTTCTATTTCGTTGATTTCAGCTCTTATTTTTATTATTTCTCTCCTTCTATTTGTTTTGGGATTTGCTTGTTCTTGTTTTCTAGGAGTTTGAGAT